TGGGCTGCAGAATTGCAACCATCACAGAGATATCAACAAGGAAATGAGAAGGAATCTGCCAGTCAGCCAAAGATTCCCACCTCCTTCCAAATCCACAATGCAGGTGTAAAACAGCAATGGGACTTTTACATCATGGCTGGAGATTTAAGACTTGAGGTCCCTCCTCATTTTCATCCATGAGTGGTGGCATGAGAGAGCCAGTAGCCCTAAAAAATGGCAAGTATTTTCTTTTAATTAAAAGAAGCATTGGAGCTTGTCACTTACTAGTGCTAGACCCACACAGGGAGGTTATTCCATTCCTGGACTCTGCACTCAAGGTCTCCACAACCCCATATGGAGATGGGCAGGAACAAGAGGCAGCTGAAAGAGAAGTGGGTTGGGCTTTTAGCAACTCCTTTATCCATAAGCAGCTGTGGGTTTATTTGGAGATGGCTGGTTTGTTGCAATGGCCTGACTTTGCTTTTCAAACGGATGTCCTGCAGTGCAACCAACACCTGTGCAGTTTGAAGGTTACTTGGGGAAAAGAGCCATAAATTGTCCATGCAATTGGGCTGCTAAGTTACATTTGCATTGGCATTTCAGTCACACTTAGGGAAAAACTTGTATTTCTACAGACAAGTAATTTCACGTCATTGTCCTAAAAAGCACTTTTGAAAGTATAATTCTACATGTTTGTTTCTCTTAACCATTCCTTGTAAGCCATATTTTTTAAGCTTTTTAATATTTTAGGCATCCTTTCCTGGTCTTTCTGAATCTTCAATAAATTTCCTGTGGCAATGTGGAAACCCAAATGTAGTATGCAACATACAGACTCACTTGCAGCCCTAGTTTTACATTCTCTTCTATTTTGTTCCTGTGCTGTGTTGTTTACACTAGTATCTTTCCCTGTTAAACTTCTGCTTATGTAACATCACATTGGCCTCAATCCTGCTGCAATTATTTATGTGAATAGTCCCGCTGATTTCAATGGGAAATGGCTGTGTTTGCTTTGAGTTTATGTTGCTTTTGTTGGTGTTTTGTTTTGGTGTGTGTGTTTGGTTTGGCGAAAACATTACATTTCCCTTTCTATTTTCCATCAACTCTGCCACCCATAGGTCATTTTTCTGCAGTATTACCACTGTTCTCCTATTCTGGACTTGTGTTTTCTGATTTTTGCTCTGTGTCTAAGACTACTTTATATTTATCCTTCTTGAACTTATTTTTGTTTCTTTCAGCCCTTTCATCACTCTAACTTTTCAAGATCTTGTTACATTTTCTTTTCAGAAGCATTTATCCTTCCCCAAAACCTTTTAAAAAACTCACTCCCCAATTTGACCATTTATCTACACTTTCCTCCAGGCTGAGAGGCAAAATATTAAACCAGTCGGACCCAGCAATGATAACCGTGGGATTCTAGCAGTGATTTCTCTCTTCTACATCAGCTGGAACCAGAATCCCCACTAGCCATGGATGCAGCAATCCACTTGTGATGGATGCTCTGTAGGACACCACAAGTCATTGAACCATCTATAATCACACTGAGCTTGTGGTTTTTTTCTAATCAATTTTGTGCTCCCTTATGGAAGTCCTGCCAGTTCATATTTCTCCAGTTTTCCTTCAGGAGTATTTTGTCTCCATGTCATGGGAAAGGATAGACTGTTAGATTTGGATGACAGCTCCAAGCAAAGAATGATACATAACATGCACCACCCAGCAGCAGACTCCAGAGTTATGACTCAGAGGAACCTCAGAATCACTATTTTATTTATTATTTTACTATATTACTGCAGTACTAAAAAGCCCTAGTCATGGCAGAGACCCCATTCTTTCCTGGCTGTCTCCTTGTTATAGAGGAGTGAGGATTTGGTGATGGTCTCTATGACCTCTGGCTCCAGTGCACTGGCCAGCTGTTAGGGAGATGGACCCCAGGTTCCAACCTGCTTCTCTGGGGATGAAAAACTAATTCCTCCTCCCCCAGACTCCAGGATTTGTAACCCTTGTAGGAATGTAAGAGAAGTGTGTATTCCTCCTTACTGCCTTGAGTGAGTGTATAGTGCAATTCAAACCTAATCCATTTATGAAAAAGGCCATTTAGTAATTACTTGCCTGCACCATACTAAACTAACTTTGGTGGAGCTCTGCCTGCATATACCAACTTTCAGTTTGGCCCATTGTATATTTAGTTTGTCTTTTATATGTTCATGTGTATAAATGGAAACGTAATGGCTCAATGTAAGCAATAATTCCTACTTGAAGATGCTTTTGGAGTTTTCAGACTTATTTTAAATCTTGCTGTGGCTGTTTCAGTCATTTGGACCATATTCTGCTACACCTGACAAATCTGGAAATGATCAGCTAAAATTTAGACATTCAGAATCATCTTCACATATGTTGAAAACCCAAACTCCTCTAACATCTTTTTAATGTATATGCTATTATGTTTATATTGATTGTACGTTTAATCTCTAGCATTTTATCCTATGATGGGATGAGTAACAAATGCAGCTGTCATTCATGTGCCAAACATGTTGCTGCTGTATGAATTAGTATCGTCGACCCAGAGGCCTGCATGTTTGTGCTTTTTGAAAGGGCTCAAACTCTAGTGCAAAGAGAGCAATATTAAGGATTTGTTTTTTCACCTGTGTTGTAGGCATATTATTCCAAGAACATCTGTTATTGCCATTACTGGGTATTTTCAGGGATTGGGTGCTGTGCAGTAATCTTAAGTAATCTGACAAATTCGTTGTGATAAAGTTTCATCCTTGTGCCATCATATATATAGTAGCCCAGTGTCTGTGAGTCTGTAATGCCGAAATGCTGGCTGTTCCATCTGGGCGGTGCTGTTGCCTGAAATGTTGGCTGTTCCCTCTGGGGGGCGCTGTTGTCTGAAATGCTGGCTGTTCCCTCTGGACGGTCCATGCTGCATGGGGAGTGCGGTGCCCAAATGGCCGCTTGCACCGCTTGCTCCCCTGCAGCGGCACGGCTGAGCAGCGCAGAAGTCAGCCGAGTGCCATGGTGGCAGGGGAAGGGGGCGGGGCGGG